AAAAAAAATGTCACAAAATTTTTCCCCACCCTAAAAAACTCAAAATTGTGTGACCTCAACCCCCAAAAATCCCCAACCCAGCCATGCTGGGCTGGGGAATTCTGGGAGTTGAAGTCCACACATCTTAGAGTTGCTAAGGTTGAGAAACATTACTGTAACATTTCTTGAAACTCTGTATTCAAGAAAAGGTGAATCCTTGATCAGAGCTGGGTAATTTAGCCTAAAACTCTAACCTGCTCCTGATCCAGGGCTGACTGGGCTTTGTGTTTGCATGATGATCCACTTAATCATGTTGTGTGAACCCAGTTGGTACATTTCTAAAGCGCTTTTAGAAATCAGCAAAGAGGTCAGTCTCCTCAGTTCAACAGAGAGAGCTCCCAATCAAGGGCAGCTACATAGGTTCAATTCTATCTCTGCAAGCATATATAAGCAAATCTTCCTTGATGATTTCAGGGAACAAAGGGAGGGATTACATAGACCATGTTCTCTTAGGTGACCCAGATCTCAACCCTGTAGGGCTTAAAAGCTGCATTCATACAACACATTATTCTGGTTACTGAATTAACTCACTGTTCTGGGTTGACAGAATACTGTACATTGCATAATAGCCTAATAACTGAGCTGTGCTCATCAAGGTTGAGGTTAAGCCTGCCAACCTAGCTTAAAATGAACTCAGCTTAGCGTGCTGTAGCACCACGAGTAGAACTTTAACTCTCCTTGTTAAATGCACTGTGCTTCCTCAGGGTAAAGGTAATAAGCAGCACTTTGTATCTTATCCCCAAACAAACTGGCAGCAAATCATTTCCTTCCTGCTTGCTCTGGAGAAGATAGGAACCTTTGCTCTCCTCCGTGGGCAAGGCAGTTCTGACACTCTGGTCTCCGAGAAAGTGCTCTGCGAGGGTTAAGCAGGCAGCTTCCACTGAGTTACCTTCAGGGCAGAGTCCTGCTGTTATTGGACTTGGCAGCTCCTAGGAGCACAGTGCAGGCAGTTCCCCTCTGCACCCTCTCCTGCCTGATTTAACTCATGGAAGAGCAACAGAAGTTTCTCTTGGTTGCCTGTGGAGAGACCAATTGTGTCTCTCAGCTGCAAGGCAGGAATGTGGGCCTGAGAGCCACGTGGAAAGAAGACGACCAGGGTCCACTCCCCTTTTTTTATTTTCAAACCTGGATGTCCATAGTCAAGTGGGGCATTTAAGAGTTAGCAAAACTAGGAAAAGATTTGCCCAGATTATCGTCTCTCTTCTCTCTCTGTGCCTACCTGAAATCTCCCCCTAACTGAGCATCTTGCTTCCCACACTGGTTGGACAGATGCCTCTGGGAAGTGCACAGACCAAGGCAGGAAACACCCTATTGTTTCTCCCAGAGGAACTGATAGTCAGACGATGGTAGACTTAACCTTCTAATAGATGTTGATAGACCCCTTCAAAGTCATTACGAGAGCCCTGCTTCTTCTAACCATAGATTCTTCCAGGCCAGGAGCCTGCTTTTTTCCACAACAGCCAACTTGCTGCCTCTCAGAAGTCCCCAGACCACAGAAAGGTATTGTTGTCCCCATTTGACCTCAGAAGTCAACTGGCACTGAACAGGGAGGCCATTTAGACATCACAGCTAGTAGCCTTGAATGGAGATGGTGCAAGAGGGCCAAGGTACAATTGTTGGTTATTCCCATCTTCTTCTCGGCTTGGAACTGCAGGCCATTCTGGAGTAGACAAGCCCTGCAGGGAATCTGAGATGAGGATTGTTCGGTATACACCCACCTCTTTCTTAAGTCAGGCTGTGCAAGAGTTCCACAGCTAATGGCAAGTGGAGTGTGACATCACCGGTTGCCATGGCAAATGCTTCCTGCAGTTTCTTGCCACCCCAGAATGGATGAAAGCAAGAAAGCCTTAGAAGGGGATGCTTTGGAGAAAACAATTAGTAGTGAAAGGGCAGTTCTAAAGGTTCTTCCATGAAAGTTGAGTATTTAAGCATTGGACATATAGGGTGTACAGGAGATACCACAGAACCGCGTGCTTAGGTACACTTTTCTGAGTGAATATACTTTGTACATGAATGTGTGAGGCAGATAATATCAGAATGGCTAGGTTCACACATCACATGGTGGTTGGCTTCACACACAGCCCATAAAGCCAGCTGTGGTCACCACTTCCAGAAGTCTTAACCCAGTGTTGTCCAAACTTGGCCACTTTAAGATGAATG